ATCTCTAACCAAAGTACATAGAGATAAGTAGAAACATTGTTCTTCATGATACTATAGACTATTTCGTTAAAACTAAGAATCAATTGATTAGTGATTTACATAAATATGGTGATGTTGTATCTTTTACTTCATATTTATGGGAATGTATAAATAAAAAAAGCTATAGAACAATAACTACACACTACATGGACCTACTTTTGTTAATGCATAAAAAATTATTTCTTTTAATAATTTTAACTCTCTCATTCAAATTATTAAGGATTATTGCAGTGAAAGTAAAATTAATTATTTTATGTTTGACAATACTAATGTTAATAAGATTTTAATAAATAAACTTTTTAGAGTACGTAATCCTAATTTTATTGATTTTTTATTTCATGTGTGTTGTGTGTTTTTTAACTTAATTGAATAAGATGGTATGAAAAATATTGAGGAAGTTGATAGAATTAGGGTTACACTAATATATATCACCATACCACCAAGTAGGAAACAAGCATTTGGAGAACTTTACGCACAGTATGACCAAGATTCCAAAAATAATTATAACTAACATATGATATCGATGAAATTCTAATTATTTATTATTAAAATCATGGGAGTGATATGAACATTTAATTACTAAATTTTATAATACTAGACCTGTAAGAAATGACGATGAAATATGCAGTTAAAATAATTATTGACTTTTACTCACTAAGCAGGGGCTCAATAATATTCCTATATAATTAGGGTTATTATAATTCATTGTTTGGTAAGGATGACTATCTAGATTTTAATTTAAATGAAATTTAATAATTATTTTTATTCACATATTTATGGAATTTACAAATTTTATTAATAAAAAATTTACAAAAAATAAATTTTAATCTCTACCAAATAAGACCAACTAATAAAAAGTTCTCCTATCTCGAAAAATCACGCGTTAATGGCTCATGTAGAACTACGAAAACCATAATAAGGGAAATAACATTTGTACACTCCAAATGTACATCATGCTTGACATCCTCTTTGTATTTATAAAAATGGATCATGCTACTAGTACATAAAAATGTTACACAAATGATTACATAAAATGATATGGAGGAAAAAAAATTGTATGAAAAAATTGAGCGTGTTTTAAACTGAAAAACGATAGAGTGATATATTACATTATATAACTTGTTATTTAAAATTTGATGTAGATGTAGCAAAGTCCAAAAAAATTGTTGAAGGACAACTGTGTATGCGCGGTTTTTTTTTTTTTTTTTTTTTTTTAAATTGTCAAATGAAAATTTGGAAATGTGACAAACTGTTAAACTTGATGTACATCAAGCTTGATTCCCATAATGATTCAAAGGAGTAACGAACATTCCATGTGCCGTTATCTCCAGCTGTAACTGTAGTTTAATAGGATTTCTTTGTTTGTACAGAAGTAGAGCTGCTAGAATTTCACCAGATGTTACTGTATATTCTAGTACAATTCACAACATTTTTTGTATACATAACATGTTTGTAAATAATCAAAATGCTATAGGGACAGGCTCAAAAATTGGGTAAAAAAAGGTTGATACATGTCGAAGCAAACTATTTTCTATCAAATTAGTCCGTTTCTGAATTCCTGTTTATAAGCACGTCTGATTGGCTTTAGTGGTAATTTAAATAAATAGCCTTGGAGTTTGACACGTGGCATTCAAACTGGTGGGGCTAGGCTATATGTTTGTGGCGTCTCGCAGACATTCACCAGTGACCAGGACAGGCAGACCACAAAGTCCAAGCCTCTTTCACATGTTCAAAGTCTTCTTACGTCATGCATTCGTTCTCATTAACTTTTAAAAATTGCAAATAAACCCCCAAATAAAATTGCCCAAAATATTTGTTTTCATGATTTCATTTTGTCCTGATATAATTAAGGTTTGTCTCCCTTACATCTCAATCAGTGTGGCTTTAGCTCTCCAACATTCAAAAAATGAGGTTTTCAGTCCCGGTCAATATGTCTTCAGTGATGAAAATTGTTAACGTTCCGTGAACGTTATAACCACACAAGATTATTACTTGATTTAAAATTGGAGGATGAAACTATCATAGATTTAAAGCGTGATTGGTGGAGATTGAAATTAGATTTTTTAGTGTGATAAAAAATTTTAAAATATGTAATTGAAAAATTGTGGGACATATGAAAGATGTGATTAATTTTAATTATTTGACTTTGATTTAGTTCAACATCAGATTTTAATCAAAACCAAGCATCCTCTTTATGTGGAGAACCCGATTCACTGTTTTGAAGTGATTTTCACTTGACGTTTTGAGGTCTACACTGAAAGGTGACATGATTTTTTCATGTATTTAATAGGTCAATGACCCAAAACTATACTTTTGAAGTTTGGGAGCCAAAACCATACCGTCTAGAAAGTAAATGAGTTGAACCCATTCGTATTCCGTCGTGCATGTATTGAGCTATTGCACCTCGTTATTGATTAAAAAATAGGTTGGGATGTCTATTTGGAAATCAAGAATGGCACTTGATACAATTAGCTCTTGTTTTGCCCTTACATTTTAAAATTTAATTTTTCTAAAACTTATTTTCAACCTTATATTTATAATAGAAATCATAATATTTATCATTTTTTAATCACAAAATTTATCAACTTTAACAAAATTTACTTAAAAAATTGATTTTTAACTAAATAAAATGTGGCTTAATTGGACAATAAAGAAGACATGCATTAGTGGGCAAAAATGAATGCATATTTATCTCCCGTTTGACCCTTATTAAATTAAATTTCATTTTTCTCTTTTATTTTCAATCACATGATTTTTTATAGAATAATTTTACACGTAAATCGAAATTTTTTCTTATCTTTCAACTACCGACTCTCCAAAAAAATACTATTTCAACCATTTTAATTTGAAAAATTGAGGGTTACAGGGGCTTAAAGAAAATATATTTCAGAAAAGAGAAGTGGAATTTGACGCAAAACAAATGGCAGTACGGAAAACGACATACACATATATTATTTCGGGTCAAACATTGACAAAAATCTAGAATAGAAAAATATATACTTCTTTTTCTCCATAAAGATTTTAAAAGTCAAAGTACTTGACTTTCAGTTGCAATTCAAGTTAATTATTGCAATTTTCAATCCAGTGATCAAAACTAGGGAAACCATTATTTTAGCCAAATTAGAGTGTAATTCCATTTAGATTGTTGACTTTAGTGAAACAGAAAACCTATTGATTGGACTAAATACATTTGATTTTAATTATGATTAGGTCTTTAGAAATTTAAAGGAATTGAATTGTTTATAAATAATTTTATTTATTACATAGTTGAAAATAACTTTAATTGGTCAGTCAAGGAATTAACAAGCTAACCTATGATTGAACACCTGTTATAACTATAAAATTTAGAATAAGCCCCTGTTTGTTGTACATTATTTGGGAAAATAATATATTTTTTTCATCAAATCAGTCTACAATATTTGACTTTAACACTCTAAGATAGGATCCATGATGTGATGTTTAAAATGTATTTTTATTGAAAAAATATGGAACAAACGGACTCTTAATTAAGATTTTAACTTTTCTCTTATACATTACTGTTATTCAGTATTGTCTAATCTTCAATATTGTGTAAATATCTGACTGAGCTTCATGCACTAATCCTTTACAGTGAAAAATACGATTTCTTATTCTTACCACAATATACATCACGAGTTTGAAAGAATTGAGCCTTGTTTGAGCATCGTTCTTTTGAAAAAAATGTATTCTTAAACAGTATTTTGACATCATTTTAACTACATATTCTTTAATAAAATAATATTATTCATAAATACAATTTTTTTCCTTTTTTTTTAACCACATATTTTCGATCAATGTACTATCCAAAAATACAATCCCCCAATGGGGCTCAGACAAGGGCTTATTGAAAAATGAACTAAGCATCAAGCACTAATCTTGATGTACAAGGTACTACTGGAAGCATTTACAATGTTAGATAAGTTCAATCTCTCAAAATCACTTATGCTAATTATTCTTGATTGAGCAGCATTTTTGCCTCAAAATGCACTTTGAAATAATATTTTTATGTAGAGTGTGTGATTAAAAAATAAGAAATTTTTTTGAATTTTCGTTTAATATTATTTTATTGAAAAATATATGATTAAAAGTAAGAGGAAAAAAATGCATCTTGAATATAATGGAGGCCAAACTGGAGCTTAATGTTTTTGGTGGGTTATGTACTAATTACGAGGCATACATTTATATAAGAATTAAGCTTCTTGTACTGTACTTATCTAGATTTTTACCGGCTATGATGAGGTGATAACACTAGATTGACTGATTTGAATAATTTATCTAACATCCAATAAAATTGCACTAAATGACAATATTTCAAACACAAAAATCCGATTATATAAACATTGTGTATATATTTTTATTTCACAGTGAGATTAATAATTGAGTTTTGCTAGGCCCTGTTTGAGAAGAATTAATCTTAGCTTTCGTTTGGTAGCAATTTTTTATTTTAAAAATTAATTTTTTAATCGTTTTTTTAATACTTTAATCATCATTTTTGACTCCTTCACCACATGTAGAACTCAGTTTTTTTTAGCGATCAAAAAATCAATTCTCATCGTTTCTAACCAAAATGCCATTAATATTTATTCCTGGACGAACCAAAATGCCATTAATATTTATTCCTGGACGATTAGCATCTTGAAGCAAACAACATATTTCTGGCGAGGGAATGGTTGCGTGCTAGTTCTGTTTCCTGTTTTGGGGTTCTCTGCGTTGAAAGAATCTCTCTGATTCTATTCTCTTTCTAGCATTAATTCTTGCTCATCTCTTCACAATATACCAGAGGCCTAAAACAAAACAAAAGCAAACACGAGTAGGGGATAGACTGTGCAGTATAGAGACACAGAAGTGTTTGTGTGTGTGTGTATGTGTGAGAGAGAGAGAGAGATTGTGTGTGCGTGTGTATGTGTGAGAAGAGAGAGAGATTGTGTGTGCGTGTGTATGTGTGAGAGAGAGAGAGAGAGAGAGAGAGAGAGAGAGAGAGAGAGCTTGACAAGATAGCACTCTCTCAGCGTGCCAAAAAATAAGGCATAAAAGCAAGATCACAATCCTGGAGCCATAATAGCTCCCTGGGTCTGCCTTTTTCCTTAGGGTTTATCTTTGTTCTTGGTGGGGTTTCTTTAGTGCTTCTGGTTTTATATTTCTGTTGCTTTTGTGGGTTTTTTAAGCTACTATGATGATAACAACCCCCTTTTGAGACTCTTTTAAGGGTTGCTCATTAGCTTTGATTCTTGTAATCATTTCTTGAGTTTTGTGGTTCGGAGGAGAGAAGCTTGCTTTTTCATAATTTTGAAGGTGTGGGTTTTTATCAATCTAAGCTCTGGTTTAGAATTTCAAGGTAAAACTTTAAGCTCATTCACTGATCTTTGCCCTTTTCCTTAGCTTAATCTTTGTGATTTGTGCATGATGATGCAGTTACTCCTAAATAAAGTGCATTTTTGAATATTTGTTTCCATTTTTTTTGCAGCAAGAACTTTCTAATTCATTACTAATCCTTGAGCTGAAACTTGAAAGAGTCTGCTTTAATTCACCAAGAAATGGAGGGTTATTCAAGAAAAGATGTGGGGTGTCCTCAGTTGCTTGATTTGATTCCAAAAGAGAAGGAATGGCTTGTGAAAAGTGCGGAAGAAACAAACTATGGACTTTCAGAGGAGAAAAAGCTTGAGCTAAGGCTTGGTCCACCTGGTGGAGATTGGACATTCAAACAAATATGTGGTCCCACAAATGAGTCTCTTCTCTCCTTTGGCTTCTTCCCTAACACCACCGCCGGCGCCACCACCACCGCTCCATGGCAACACCAAACAAAGGCTTCATTTTTTCCGCTTATGGAAAAGGAATCGTGTCGAATAGTAGAGTTGCAGGGCGCAGAAAAGAAGGCATTTTCACCTGCAAATACAGCAGTGCCTAACAGCAGCAGTGCTCAGAAAAGGTACCTCAGCTTTTTCTTGTGTCAACACTAAAAAGAAATTAAGCAGAAAATACAAATCTTTAAATATGCACAACACCCAGAAATTCCTATCCCTGCTCCATGCATGTAGATTTTAATCAATCTGACGATAATTTTATTGTACCGTATGTTTCCCTGCCTTGTATTTATGTATTCTTGATCGGTTATCCTTGTCCTCTCTATCGTGTATTTGTCCAAGGATATTTTTCTCTGAACTATGTGTCTGCCTGTACAAATATTCATATTCATGTTAATAAATAATTTACTGCCAGCAGATGTCCTGTGAGTATTCATTTAATATGGTAATAACCCTGTAAGGAGGTCAATTTATCTGCATGCTGCAGTTTTTGCTAATTAGATTTATGGCTGCCTCTGCTTAACTTTAGTAAATGCTTTATGTAGTTGTGCTTTATGTAAAGATTGGTTGTGTCCTACTTCGATCCCTTAAATTACCCTAACACCCAGTGAAATCAAGATAACGATGGAAAGCCATAGATAAACAGGAAAAAAGAAAAAGAAGAGAAATCTATTTTTTGCATTCTTCCTATTAAAAACTCTACTCAGTGAATCCATTTTCGATCCGTTTGATCAATCTTTATGGACCAACTCATCATGTTATTGAGTCTTGTTGACGAGGCATAATCATTTGTATGGGTTCATGATAATTTAGGTATAATTTTGATTCGCCAGGCTTTGTTATAAAAAGATGGAATGTAATTTTTAGCTGGCCATTAACAAATCTTTGTTTTCCATTTGTAATAAACAATAGAACTGCTCCTGCTCCAGTGGTGGGATGGCCTCCTATTCGTTCGTTTAGGAAGAATCTTGCAAATGGCAATTCTTCTAAATTATCCCCCGAGTCGCAGAAAGATTTCAGCAAAAAACCTATTGAAAATTGCCCCAAAAATAAGTTTGTGAAGATAAACATGGACGGTGTTCCCATTGGAAGAAAAGTGGACCTGAAAGCGTTCCATAGCTATGAAAAGCTCTCCTCAGCCGTTGATGAACTCTTCAGAGGCCTTCTTGCAGGTTATTATCCAGCAAATGACTTATAATACTGCTTTGATCTAGCGAAAGTTGAATTATCGTCATTTCTCATATTGATGCAATCGTGTACAAAGTTAAAACATGACCAAGCCTTGTCAGAAGTGAATGATGAATTTACGCTTACAGTGTTTAGCCTTTTTAGTTAAGCATGTTTAACTAAACTTGAAATGTTCACTTTTGGGTAAATATACTTGTATATGAATAATATATTGCCTTCAATTCTTAAGAGTTACTTTCGAATCGAAAAATATAATACAAATGAGAAAAGAATTAGTAATCCACTTAAAAGCAACTTTTCTTTTTGAAGGCTTAGCCATACATCCTCTAAATCTAAATATAGATGCATCTTTCTTTAAAAATCTGACTGGTTCACTTGTTTTTCATTTATATTTGTAGCTCAAGGTGATTCTTCGACCAATGGCATCAAAAAAGAGGTAGAGGGAGAGAAAGTGATAAGTGGTTTATTGGATGGAAGTGGAGAATATACCCTTGTTTATGAAGATAATGAAGGGGACAGGATGCTTGTTGGGGATGTCCCTTGGGAGTAAGCATCTTACCTCCTTGGATCTGATGCAATTTGTTTTTGTCTAGTTCTTTTTAATATTCTGCCACTTTGTTCTGGGTTTTCCGAATAGAAAGGATGGCAAATTTGCTCATTCTTTCGTTCTTCAAAGTTTGGCACAAACCTAAATTCCAAGAAATGCTCAAATGCATTTAAATTTAAGGGACTCGGTGAATGCATATGGCAGTTTACCTGATCTGTCTTGCAAAAATATCATTTTGTGATTGTATTAGATAGTATAAAAGTATAGTCCTTACCACAATCAAGCTCGCTTGGAACTTCGTGACTTGGTTTTCAACGGAATTAGATTGCTAAAACACCACTTGATTGTATGTTATTTTTGCAGTATGTTTGTATCAACTGTGAAGAGGCTGCGTGTACTGAAAAGCTCTGAACTCCCAATGCTATTCTGTGAGTTCTCTTTTCAGTTGTGTTGATGAATTTTTGTAGGTTGCAATGGATAATATTACTTGCATTGTTGTGACTAATGGAAACATTGCATCATTGTTCTTTGCAGGTGGAAGTAAGCCAGGAAAGCTCTCTCTCGACCGTTCAATCTAATAAGGCCAGAAACAACACCATTGTGGAATCTAAATACAGATATTGCAGGGGCGCTGTTGTGTTTATTTTAAACTTATGGATGACAATTAATATGTTTTAAAGCCAAAAAAGGAAAAAAGTGTCAATGACCATTTACTCTAAACCCCCAGAACTCACCGTTTTCTTGAATTTTGGCCTTTGGAATACTGTAGGAAGAAAAGATGAAGCTGCATATCTTCTTGTACATGCTTATTGTATGAGAACTTCCAATTAATATAGTATATTGTGAGGATTTTCTTTCTTATGGCAGCAATTTTAATGAATCTTGATTTTATTTCGGAGGCAAGAAAATATGAAGTAGGCGAAGGTATCAATCTTGTACACTCCAACATACTCCAGCATATGAATAATCCTGACTGTATATCTATAGTTTCTCAGCCTGTTCGAGAATAGTTGTTATCCTCCTGTTAATAATCATGAAGAGTACCTTGTCCGTTACTGTTCAAAGAGTGTTGATCTTTACTCTTCAACTAAGACAGTAGAATCATTGTATAGGATCTTCTGTGCAACCCAAATGTCTTCGCCTTTAAGCCAGGAGAATTTCAGCTGTGCCTTTTGAAACCTTCAAGCCAGGAGAAAATATTAGCTGTGCCAGCTTTTTTCACCTTTAAGCCATTATTTTTAAAATTTTCTAGCAATGAATTCTGAAACTGGAACAAATGTGCCATCTTTGCTTCCTGCCGTCCCTGCTGCCGTGGAGCATAACAGTGACTTTTTGTTATCAGATCATATTAATCAATCTGAAATATCGTTAGGGGAAGGTTTTTGTATCACTGCAAAATTAGTTTCATCATTTAAGTTTCAAGAAAATTCTTTAAATACTCGAAAACTTGAGCAGATAGGAGGGGGGTTAGCATCTGATTCACTATTAAACTTGATAGGAGGGGAAGGTTTTCTTTTCTTATATGAACTTGATATGGTACATCACAACTACAATTAATAGTTTCTCATTACAATTATGATTTGCATTATTTAGTAATTTATTTTTTCAATTATGTTTATCTATTTTAATTCCTTGTATAGTTGTAATAGGACTTTATCTTTTATTTGATTAGGATTATAATTTAAATTGGTTTCAATTTCCTAATATCATTAGAAGTATGTAATAATCTTGTCTATAAATATAGGGATATTGTATATTTTTCATTATTACATAATTCTTATTATAATAAATTTATCATCGTTTTCGCACCAAAATTCACTGTTGATTAATTACAAATGAAATAAAAAATTTCATTCAAAGATTTCATAATATCAGAGCTTAGGCTCTTAACAGAAAAATTTGAATGGTGAAAATTGCCATGACTTGAGCTACAAAGTCCAATTCACTTCCGTGGGGCACAACGGATGAATTAGATAATCAAACACGATTTGCAGTTTCCTTTAATTAGCTGGAGCAGTCAACTTCCTTGTAGATCACAGTTCACAAACTAAGTGGGAGGAAATACATGGAATGTGCTCGATCTATCAAGTTCATCATCGATGGAAAAGAGGAACTATGCTATCTAACTGGTGAAGTGTAGAAACTAGTAGATAGATTCTCAAGTAGGCATGGAGATTGATAAGTGCGTTTTACACATTTATTTTGATCACAAAACATGGATAATTGTTGATAGATATGTTGAAACATGGCTTAATTCTATATAAATTATGTTTTATAGGACAACATTGATGAATGTGATGAAATTGAGGAAAAATAAGCGCAAAATGACTAAAGTAGAAGAAAACAAAAGTTTAGGGATCAAAGTGCAAATAGTTAAAAGATGATCCAAAAGCATAAACGAGGATGTGAAAGAATCAAAGACCAATTTAGTGAAGACATGATGTATTGAAAGAAAAAGAAATAAAAAAAGATGTCAAGAAGTAGGAAAACAGAGTTCGGGAACCAAAATGCAAATATTGAAATTTTACTTGAACTCTGCTATAGCATAGTTATTTTTTCAATGATGTCACATAGGTATTTTCAGCAAGTTTCAAGGCCACAATCCATTGAACTATGCTATAGCATTGACTTGTACTACGTTATAGCATAGTTCATTTTCGTCGAGAAAAATATAGTTTCCTTATTTGATTAAAATTCTTATGTAAACCAATTTTAGGAAAATTTTTAAAATTCTAGGGCCATCCATAAGTGTTCATCACGCATTCCAACATATTTCTAAGAGTTTTGGAGCATAGAAGGAAGCAAGAAATGCGAAGAACGATCCGAAGACTCGAACATTCAATTCAAGAATTAATTGGGTGACGTTGTTTCTTCAATATTCTTTTTTTTTTTCTTATTTCCACCATGCTAGACTAGATTTATATGTGCTAGGAGAACGATGAATGGATTATATGGATTTATTTTCTCCACAACGATTGTACACGTAATTATGTGAATTTGGTGGCTTATTTCATGTGTTCAAAAGAAATGGAATAGCCTTGATATGATATAAATCATCGTAGGGTCCGATAGGGGATATAAATATACCGCCACTCCATGTGAATATTTAAGTGTTCATAAAAATTCATGCATTCTTGTGTATTCGCATTCGTCATAGAAAATATAGTTAGATCGTATATGAGAATATGTTCAACAATACTCGAGAGAGATTATTGAATAAAATAGGAACATTGATTCATCAAAATTTAGCTGTATTTTCAAAGTGTAAAACTAAACTTAAAAAGAGATTATTGCATGGTAATTCGCAATCCTAGTACGTTCGTCAGTCATTCATGATAACATTTCAACTTGCATTCAACACAATTTGCATTTTGTTTATTTAATTCATTCATAATTGCATACGTAAGTTAGTTTGGTTATCATTTTCATTACAACAAACATTTTCATTTTTATTGTTTCGGTTAAGGTCACGGAAATAGAAATTGAACTAAATCTATCTCCATGGGATGATATTCAGACTCAAAACCCACTTTATTACTTGTTAACGAACCGTACATTTGCAGTGAATTTAAATTTAAATATATTTTTGCATAACAAGTTTTTGGCACCGTTGTCTGGGATTGAGTTTTAGTTTGATTTTATTTACTCTGACACTAATTTGAACTTTTTATTTTATTTTATTTAGTTTTTTTTATTCAAGTTTGTCTAAGTGCTACTATTGCTCTTCCTTTAGGTCATGACGTATGGAAAGGTCACTTGATGGTGAATTGGTTCTCGCTAATCCAGAAATTGAATGTACCTTTCATTATAGCCAAAGGGAGGCAAGAGCATCACATCAAAAAGAGCAAAAACAGCAAGTACCAACGGTTAATAAACAAATCGAGCCAGTTATTAATCCTGCAAATCCAGTAGATGCAGAGGTAGAAGATTAAGGAAACATGATACTTGGGGACTTCATAACACCATCAGTCATCCAAAGCCAATCTAACATTGTGTATCCCTCATTTGGACAGCCAAACTTCCAACTGAAAACTAATGTCATCCAACTCTTTCAAAATGGATGTCAGTTATATATAATGGCTAATGAGAATCCACTCATACATATATTTCGATTCTTGGATATATGTCCACTTCAGGTATCAGGGGATTTCAAACAATGCTATTAGGTGGAGGTTGTTTCCATACTCTATGGGATAAAGAACTCAAATGGCTGGATTCACTTTTCGTTATGAGCATAACTACTTGGAATGAGCTAGCTAACAAATTTTGCACGAAGTTTTTCTCACCAACTAAGGTAGCGAGATTGAGGCATGACATATCGATATTTAATCAGGCTGAATTTGAATCATTTGATGAGGCTTGGAATAGGTTCAAGAACATGCTACAGAAGTGTCCTTAACATGGTTTTGACAAGAAAATCTAAATCCGATTCTTCTATACAGGATTATTTTCATCTTTCAAAAGCACGGTGGATTCATTATCCAATGACTCCATATCCACGAGAACAATTGATGGAACATTGGAATTGTTTGAGAGAATGGCTACTATTTCAGCCATGTGGTCCTCTGAGCGGGTGATTTAGAAAAAATCACCAAGGTTTTACGAGGTAGACACTTACTCACCCTTATTTGTTAAAATAGACGCCCTATTTCATAAGATAGAGAGCATCTCATATTCAATAAATGTAATACAAGCACGAAAACCAAGTTGTGAAGAATGTAGAATGGATCACAGCACAATAGAATACCTAATTTTGTCATAAGGAATGGAAAAGGTAGAGTGTGCACAATGGCGTCAGCTTCAACATAACAGTCCAAATTCAAACACTTACAATCTTGGTTGAAGAGAGTATCCAAATTTCTTGTGGGGTGGTAGCCAAAATCAATTTCAAAATCATAATAGACCCCAGGGGCAATTTCAGCAAGAGAAGAAAATTCAATTGGAAGAGATGTTTGCGAAGTTCATAGAAAAGACCAATAAATACATAGAAGCAAATAATCAATTCTTGAGGAAGATTGAAATAACCCTCCAAAATCAAGGTGCTACAATTAAGAACCTGGAGACACAAGTAAGATAGATGACACTTTCTATGACGGGAAGGACACCAGGTACTTTGCCAAACTATATTGAAGTAAATCCCAGGGAACATGTTCAAGCAATTACTATAAGAAGTGGGGTTCAATTACCAGAGATCAATGTGAAGAGATTGGGTACAGACAAAGAAACAATACCTTATTTTGACGAGAAGCAGACTGACCAGACCAGAGAAGCAACTACCAACGAGAGTTCAGATACACCAAAGGCAAAAGCAACCGCTCCTATCAATTCATACGAGCCCCCAATTTCATTCTTTCAGAGATGGAAAAAGCATAAGATAAATGAACAAAACATGAAATTTTTAGCGATTTTCAAGAAACTTCACATAAAAAATTTCGCTGGCTGAGGTACTCACCCAGATACCCAGCCACGCCAAATTCTTGACAGACATCCTATCCAACAAACGCAAGCTGAAGGAGAACAAAATGGTGATGTTGACAGAGTAATGCAATGCTAGAATTCAGAAAAAGCTACCTCCAAATCTAAAAGATCCAGGAAGTTTTAATGTAACCTGCACCATAGGAAATTGTTATTTTGAAAAAGCTTTATGTGATTTGGGTACCAGTATTAACTTAATGCCACTCTCTATTTTCAAGAAATTAGGATTGAGGAAATCTAAGGCAACTAAGGTTACTCTATAGCTGGCTGATCGATCATTGACTCATCCACGAGAAATCATTGAAGATGTTTTGATAAAGGTGAAAAAAACTCATATTTCTAGCGAATTTCCTCATACTGGACATGGAGAGATAAGGACGTGCCAATCATTTTGG